TTGAAATCCATCCATAAACAGCAGTCCCTCGGTTTAACAGGGACAATGGCTTCCTGGCTCACTACGGACATTTCAACTCTATCTGACCCTATCCTCAGGGGGGCATCCTACACTCATCTATTCTCCCCACCTACAGGCTAGCTTCCAAGGCCAAATTCGTCTTGCCACTTCATTTTCACATCCAGTAGCTATGTCTTTGTCCACAAACGACCATCATTAAAATTGGACTTGCTATTTCATTTCCCTACACAAAGGATTTTGAATTTGAACTGCCATTCTCACATACCAAGGGCATATATATGTCTATCCCTGGCTTCCACGTCACCAAAAGCATCTGAGGAAGTAGACTGAAGTCTACAAAAGCTCATGCTGCCAACTTCTTTCTTTCAGTTAGTCTCAAAGATGCTACAAGATCTCTCTACATACTGATTCTACAGACTAACACGGCTATATCTTTGAATACAGCCAAAGATCTTAAAAGAACTGGCAGAAGTAATCTCAGAACCACTGGCAACAATCTTTGAGAACTCCTGGAGGAGCAATTCCAACAGACTGAAAGAGAAAAAATGTTGTCCCTATCTTCAAAGTGTGTGTGTGTGTGTGTGTGTGTGTGTGTGTGTGAAGACCGAAACAATTACCACCCAGTCAGCCTAACATCAATACCAGAAAAGATTCTAGGGCAGATCATTAAACAGACAATCTGCTATCACTTAGGAATGCTGTGATCACTAAAAGTTAACAAGAGTTTCTCAAAAACAAGTCATGCCAGACTAATCTGATTACTCTTTTACTCTCTTTTTTCCTTTTTAGAGTTGTTACCTTTGTAGATGAAGGAATTTCCTTGGATGTAGCCTTTTTTGATTTCAGTAAGGCCTTTGACAAAGTCTCCCATGATATTCTTGCAATAAAGCTAGTAAAATGTGGAGTAGACAATGTGACCGTTAGGTGGATTTGTAATTGGTTGGCCAACAGAACCCAAATGGTGCTCAGCAATGGCTCCTCTTCTTCATCCTGGACAGCAGTGACCAGTGGGGTGTCCAGTGGGGTTCTGTCCTGGGCCCAGTGCTATTTCAACATCTTTATCAATGACTTGGATGAAAGAACAGGGGGCATGCTTCTCAAATTTGCAAATGACACCAAATTAGGAGGAATAGCTAATACCCCAGAAGACAGGATGAAAATTCAAAATGACCTTAATAGATTAGAAAGCTGGACCAAAGCTAACAAAATGAATTTCAGCACAGAGAAATGTAAGGTACTCCACTTGGTGAGAAAAAAATGAAATGCACAAGATGGGTGACAACTGTCCTGGAAAGCCGGTGGGTGGGCTGATAGCCAAGATAAAGGAAAGACCCCCAAACCAAGTCCTCATTACCAATCCGATGGGGCAGCCAATAAAGAGTCAAACACAGTCCTTAGGTCAAGGGTTTCAGAGTAGCTGGGAGACAAGGCAGTCTGAGGTCCAGGGATGCAGAAGTCCGAGAGTCGTCAGAGGTCCAAAGGTCAAGGATACCGAGAGTCCAGGATAATCAAGAGTCAAGGTTTAAGGCAAGGAACAAAGAGGCTCAGGGACAGAGGCTTTCACCAAGAAGCTCAGATAATCTCTGGCACCGAGGCAGTGTTTCCACACTTGCTTAAATCCCCAAGCTGCCAGATTACCTTGATTATCTCGGCATTTTTCATAAATCCTCCTCGAGCGCTGGAGGCCCACCCTTTTAGCTCTACGCTGACTGCAGGTAGGTACAGTCCCTTGGTCCTCTGCCATGTCCAATGGTTCTGTAGATGGAAGGCTTGGCTGTGATGCAACCTCCTGAGATACCACAGACTCTGCTGGAGACTCCGCAGGAGTTGGCAAAGCAGGGCTGCTAGGGCCAGGCTGGGTATCCTCCACCATAAGCTCATGGTCTGGAGGATGTTCTGACTCATCCTTGAGTCCTCTGAGTCCTCTGAGTCTTTGTCCAGGCAGGGGATGACAAGAACTGGCTTGACATCAGTACATGTGAGAGAGATCTAGAAGTCTTAGTAGACCAGAAGCTGAACATGAGTCAACAGTGTGATGCAGCAGCTTAAAAAAAACATGCAATTCTAGGCTGCATCAATAGGAGTATGTGTCCAGATCAAGGAAAGTAATAGTACCACTCTAGTCTGCTTGTGTTAGACCTCACCTAAGATACTGTTTCCAGTTTTGGACACCACAATTTGAAAACGATGCGGACAAGCTGGAGCGTGTCCAAAGGAGGGCAGCCAAAATGGTGAAAGGTGTGGAAACCATGCTCTATGAGAAGTGGCTTAGGGAGCTGTGTGTGTTTAGTCTAGACAAGAGAAGGTTAAGAGGTGACATGACAGTCATGTTTAAATATTGAAAAGGGTATCATATTGAAGATGGAGCAAGCTTGTTTCCTGCTGCTCCAGAGACTAGAACATGGAGCAACGGATGCAAACTACAGGAAAGGAGATTCTGTCTAAACATTAGGAAGACTTTCTTGATGGTAAGAGCTGTTCAACAGTGGAACATGGAAGAGTGTGGTGGAGTCTCCTTCTTTGGATGGCCATCTGTGGGGAGTGCTTTGATTATGTATTCTTGTGCAGCAAGAGGTTTGACTGGATGGCCCTTGAGGTCTCTTTGAGGTCTATGACTCTATGATTCTAAACCCTAAGCAGTTTAGGACTAGTATATCTAAAGAAATGCCTCTTTCATGTGAGCCTCCCTAAATTTTGCTTTGACTTTCAGACATCCTGTCCTATGTCTCACCACTTGGAGTGACAATGTGCATGGGAGATAGGACCTTTCTGTAGCATCACACCAATTATGAAAGAAGGGAGGGAAGATACATTTATCTATATTTTGGTTACATAACAAGCTCTTAATTAATGCATATTTGTTATGTCCTAATGGAAAGCTTACTATTTTCAAAGGATAAAATGAGTGAATCTAGTGAATCTAGTTATACTTCCTAACACAATTAATGATTGAGCATTCATTCATAGATAAGCAAAACCTTAACTACACATTGTGGATTATCCATCCAGAAAACCTCAGATAAAGGTCTTAACTTTGAACACTAGTTTTATTTTCTTTGTTACTCAAATAACACTTTAATCCAGGGATGAGGAATATGTAGTCCTTTAGATGTTGTTGGGCACAGTTTTTACCAGTCTCAGTTAGTATGGTAATTTGCAAGCCATCATGGAAACTTCAGCCCAGCAACATTCGGGGGTACCACGTTCCACATTTCTGTGACTCCAACTAGTAAAGCTAACAATTTACCATTTACAATTTAACACTTTTCTTTATTTAAGAGATATTATCCAGGTGATCATGTATTTATTAATTCATATTCAACATTGAGTGGGAAAAACCTGAAACAAGAGGAATTAGAGGAGTTGAAAAAATCAAGAGACAAGAAAAAATAAATACAAAATCAGATTAAATTATTACAAAGTCAAATATTAATGTTGTTAAATGATGAAATTAAAAATAGATTTTGTAATGCCAAAAACCTTCCATTTTGCTCATAAACCTGGAAGATGTCTAGCCTATAAACCAAGAAAAGAAAGAAGAATGATACTAGAAGTTATGGATGGAGTAATAACTCCTTGGATGAATGGATAGAGTAATAAATTATGGATGGAGTAATAACAATAACAAAAGGAAAAGAAATGTAAAAGGTTTTGCAGAATTACTTTCAGTTACTTTATAGAAAACCAAGAATAGAAAAAAAAACAATAGAAGAATATATCCCAAAAATGGGTGTCCCACAATTATCAGATAAGCTTAAAGAGAAATTAAAGAAAGAAATATTTATTGAGGAAATCAAAGAAACAATTAAAACTATGAAGCCAGGAAAGTACCAGCTTTCTATTATAAATGTTTTGAGGAGAAATTGACCAAAACTATTGCAAATTGTGATGAATGATATTGCAAAGCACAGATCCCAGAGAGCTGGAAAGAGGTTAATACAACACTAATTCCCAAAGATGATAAAGATCGTAGGACAATCAAAACCTTCAGGCCAATATCACTATTAAACATTGATTATAAGTTGTTTTTTTCATGGATCGTGGCAAACAGATTGAAAAGATATCTACAAGAAGTCATTCATGAAGACCAAAATGGCTTTATCCCTAAGAGACAGATTAGAAATAATGTAATGACACTAATTGATGTTTTAGAGTATTTGACTTTTCATAATGAGATTAAAGGTGCTTTAATATTTATAGATGCAGAAAAAGCATTTGATAATTTGAATTCCACCTTTCTAATGAAAATAATGGAGAAAATGGAATTTGGAGGAATTTTATGAAATGGACTCAAGGAATTTATTGTCATCAAAGAGCAAAAATAATAATAAATCAACAACGACTGATTATATCCAAATTGAAAATGGTACTAGGTTAAAAATCAACAATTATTCATAGAATCATAGAGCTGGAAGACACCTCAAGGGCCATCCATTCCAACTCCCTGCAATGCAGGAATACACAATCAAAGCGCTCCAACCGATGGCCATCCAGCTTCTGTTTAAAGACCTCCAAAGAAGGAGACTCCACCATTCCCTGAGGGAGTGTGTTCCACTGTTGAACAGCTCTCACTGTCAGGAAGTTCCTCCTAATATTAAGGTGAAATCTCTTTTCCTGTCGCTTGCATCCGTTCTTCTGTGTCCTATTCCCTGGAGCAGCAGAAAACAAACTGTGGTGAAGTCTCCTTCTATGGAGGTCTTTAAATAGCAACTTGATGGCCATTTGTCAGTGGTGCTTTGATTGTGTATTTCTGCATGGTCTCTTCCAGCTCTTTAATTCTATGATTCAAATTTAATTAATTAAAAAAAAACTAATATGCTGTTGTTGTTGTGTACCTCCAAATCATTTCTGACTTATGCCAACCTTAAGGAGAACATATTGTGAGGTTTTCTTGGCATGATTTGTTCAAAGGAAGCTTGCCATCACCTTCCCCTGAGGCTGAGAGATTATGACTTGCCCAAGGTCACCCGGTGGTTTGATGGTTGAGCTGGGATTCGAACCCTGGTCTCCAGAGTTGGAGTTCACCACTCAAACCATTACGCCACACTGACATTCATATGACTGACCCAAAAATACTTGTGAGTTTCTTTTTGTCTTCCTCTCAAAGCTATATTTACCTACTCACAAATTCTTAATTATATACAGTACTTTGAAGAAGTATGCACACACACACCCTTTGGCTTTTCCGTATTTTGTTGTGTTCCCTGGAATTGAAATGGATTTAACTGGAATTTCTATCACTTGATGTATATGAGATAGTCAGCACTGTAAAGGTGCAGAATAATTGCAATGGGGCAGAAAGGTTGTCCCTATCAACTCCTGATGGGTTACTGGGACTGTGTAATGTGATTTATACCAGGTTGGGGAATCTAGACCTTGTGGGGCTCAACCTGGTTAGTAGCTATGTTGGTTAGGAATGGTGGCATTGATAGGGTGAAGGTACTTTCTGGGGTGATCCATGGAAAGTATTTGCCAATATGGGTTGCATTCTGATCATCCCCCAGGAGAGGCAAAGTCATGCGATGACAACTGAGCGGAAATACTCTGACTCTGGAGATCAGGGCAAGTCACATGCTCTCAGCCTCAGGGGAAGGCAATGGCAAATCTCCTCTGAACAAATCTTGCTAGGAAAACCCCATGATTGGTTTACCTTAGGGGCACCATAGTTGGAAATGACTTGATGGCACATAACAACAAAAAAACTTTCTTCCAGCTCTTCCACACCTCCAGCCATAGCTCAATATGGGTTATGTTGAAGACTGGCACAACTGGAAGACAAGCATCTCTTTGTTGGTGAAGGGAAGGTAGGTGTCAGGCAGTCCCCACAAAGAAGATAAGCAGGACTTGGTAAAGATGTTGCCTACTTACAAGGTCTGTAGTGGAATCCTCAAATATTATGCTAGGTTGTTATAGAGAGGAGTGTGAGCTCAGCTCATCGAAGAAGGGTCTCTGCAGGGGCTGGAATCACATGCCACCCTTTCTTGCTTTGTGGGCAAAGGCAAACATCTGGACGAGAATATGGTAAGAGTGCAATTTGAGCCAGTTAATGCTGAATGAGGCTTATCGGGATGGGTTGCTTGCCTCTGGCAATGTCCCACCATCCCATCTCACTAGACAGCTCTTCTAACATCACCTTGGAGAGGATGATGAAGGACCTCCCCAAGGCTAGGAATAGCCTGAGCTCTGGAGGAGTCTTGACTAGTGGTTTTGTGCTATGCCATGGTGGAAGAGTAGTTATTGTGTGTGAGAGAGAGACAGAATGATCCTGGGCCCATTAATAATACAAATTGGGCCAG